CTCAAGCACTACCGCAGTACCATGATCCTCTACAGGAACAACGACATGCTTATGTGCAAAAATTTTGCCACAACTCTACAAGGCGAGGACCAAGATTGGTTTCACTCTACCGCCGCAGTCGATCCGAAGTTTCAATGAACTTTCTTTTTTTTTCATTAAGGAGTATTCGTCTAACCGCTCAATCAAAAGGACATCCGACCATCTTTTCAGCATCATAAAAGACCCTAGGGAGACAATTTGCGACTATGTCAAGAGGTTCAAAGCTGAGAAGGCCAAGATTGTTGGCTGCAACGAGGACATAGCAACGTTAGCATTCAGAAATGGGCTTCCTACCGAACATCCTTTATTCGAAAAAATGATCATGGGAGAATAACTGACCCTAACAACTTCGTATACTTTGGTATAAAAACATGCATTATGGGATGAGGCCAAGCAGTCTAACAAAAACGAGTCAGAAAATAAGCACATGGAACGTTCCTCGACCAAAGAAGACTCATGGCCTGAAACATTCACCAAGTTCACAGTTCCAATCGGCCAAATTCTCCGCAAGCTCAAGAATGAACCTTGGTTCGAACTGCCGCCGCCCATGAAATGCGATCTTACCAGGCTGAATCATACAAAGTATTGCACATTCCATTAAGGACCAGGCCACACTACCAACGATTGCCTAAAGTGGAAGCAGTACATTGAGAAGCTGACAAATGAGGGTCGATGCGATGAGTATCTTGACAGGTCAACGAAACAACCTACACAAGCAGGGAAAGTCTCCATCACCCCCTTAGCCCCGTTTGGGCTTTTCCAAATAAGTTCAAAGTCTTAAGCAGCTTGACGAACAAGGCCTCGCAAGACAAATATTATCCAGTTTGTTATGTAGTTTCTACCTTTCAGCACGGTTGATTTATTTCTTTGTTATCAATGAAGATTCAAGAAGTCACTCATAAGCCTGGCTCAACTGCTGTCCACAACAACTGCTCAAAACCCTGTCTAGGTTTACTCTCCAGTGTGAGAGGATAAACTAATTGCTCTCTAGTGCAAGAGGGTAAACCAATTCCCCAACACCCATATGGGTTTGCTCTCGAGTGTGAGAAGATAAACTAATTGCTCTCTAGTGCGATAGTGTAAACCAATTCCCCGACACCCATTGCTCTCCAGTGTGAGAGGATAAACTAATTGCTCTCCAGTGCAATAGGGTAAACTAATTCCCCGACATCCATATGGGTTTGCCCTCCAGTGCGAGAGGATAAACTAATTGCTCTCCAGTGCGAGATGGTAAAATAATTCCCCGACGCCCATATGAGTTAGCTCTCCAGTGAAAGAAGATAAACTAATTGTTCTCCAGTGCGATAGGGTAAACCAATTCCCCGATACCCATATGAGTTTGCTCTCTAGTGTGAAAAGATAAACTAATTGCTCTCCAGTATGAGAGTAAACCAATTCCCCGACATCCATATGGGTTTGCTCCCCAGTGTGAGAGGATAAACTAATTGATCTCCAGTACGATAGGGTAAACTAATTCCCCAACACCTATCTGGGTTTGCTCTCCAGTGCGAAAGGATAAACTAATTGCTCTCCAGTGCGAGATGGTAAAATAATTCATCGACACCCATATGGGTTTGCTCTCTAGTGAAAGAGGATAAACTAATTGCTTTCTAATGCGAGAGGATAAACTAATTGTTCTCCAATGCGATATGGTAAACTAATTCCCTGACACCCATCTGGGTAAAGCTCTCCAGTGCAAGAAAGCCACATAGCTCAAAAAGATCGAATGCTTGAAGATCAACTAGGCAGCAAATGGTCAGGGGGTAGCAGCCATTTTTGCACTCAATAATTTGCTTATCTGACACTTTATCTTTAGTAGCTCCGATCTTGGCAGCTCCATCCACGGCAGTTGAGAAATCAAACTCAAGAAGTTTCCTCATTTTTGGCAGGCAGCCCAGACGTGGTAGCCTAAACAATTGCCCATGCCACGCCACTTCCTCTGCCCATGCCGAACCAATCATTGACTTTAATCAAGCCGAGCCGCTTAAGCAATGGCCCCTGCCACATCACTTCCTTGGCCCATGACAAGCCGACTCTTGGCCATTGCTAGCCAACGTGCCGCACCACCCTGACGATTGCCCAATGGCAGCACCACCCAAGAATAAGATAAGAAGAATTAAGTTTTTTCTTGCCTCGGTGCGGCACGGAGAAGACGAAGAAAGCAACGAAAGACGATCATTTGCACGGGCAAGTGTAGAAGATTGCCAAGGGAGGGGGAACAAATATCCTCTAAGCTTTCCCTCTTTTGTAGGGTAGAATAAATCGCTCTCCAAAGTTGATTTAACAACCCACTTAAGGTGGACTTAAATAGGCTTTGAGAGATTTATTTCCCTTTCCTAAAAGGATCTAATTTCCTATTAAAATAGAGAATCAACATCAAATTAAGAAACAATTCAAAGTTTCCTAGTGCAAGAAAATATCTACACCTGTTGCCCTTTTCTGCGAGCAACCCAACAGGTGTGGGGGCATTTGTGGAGCAAAAAATAATCACAAGGCGACACGTGAATTTCTAGACAAAAGAGGACAAAAGTACCCTTGACGTACAACGAGATTCCTACGCGCAAGCAGCGGGTAGTCATCCCTCAACCAAGTCAAAAATGCCAAAAAAAGGTAACAATTCAAAAACCATCTCATCAAATCCCTCTTATAAGGTAACTCCCAAAACCTATTTCATTCCATATATTTTTTACCTCTTTTCCCCTCTTTTAGCTAATCAATTAGCTAGCATTCCATAACTTACAAAATATGCCACATAAATTACACAACCTCCAAAATATTCATTCAAAAAATGTGTTAATTGGCTAATTAATCCATTAATTGCCAAATAACTCACACATTAAACCACAAAATGCACACAAAAAGCATCCCAAAGGCCGGCCACTTTTTCTCCAAAGGGGACCGGCCATGCCCTATAAATACTACCCATTTTTCTCTAAAAACCTAAGTCTACACTCTTGCAAAACTCCAAAAACTCTCTAAACACTTTTCTCTCTAAATTCTAACTTTGGCATCGGAGGTTCTTCGGCCAAAGCCCCCCATTCATCGTGGACGTGTGAGGCTTTTGGCCTTAACCAAATGTGTTAATTGTTTTGTAGGTGCAATTTTGTCCAAGATCAAGGAGGAAGAAATTTGCATCTAAAGTTCTATCGATGGATAAGATAAATATTGTTTCTTCTCTCTACTTAGCTTGTATATTTCAATACCAACTCAACTTAGCATTTTCATTATTACATATAGTTACTCGCTATCATTATTGTATCATACTGTCATTTTATGTTGAAATGACGTTACTTTTGGATTTGATCTCATTTTCTTTAGTAGCAGGCAACTGTCCATGTTGATCAACATGCGGTTCTCTTAAATTCTCAATGTTTATATAAACCTTCTTCTTTAATTAATAACTAATAAATTAATTTCATTAGCCCCTTTATTAGGTTTTATTATTTTATAAATACAATAACATAAGGGGGTCAAATGTGTGATGCTAAAAAGCAGGAGGAAGCAACGCAAAGTCTTTAACTTCTCTTGGCCATCATTTGCTTTGATCAGGTCACTCAATTCTTGTGGAGATTTTACATCCCAATTATTGGGAAATGCCCTTTATATGTAAAAGAATTAATTAAGAAATACGAAGTCTTAAACAAATGTCATTGTACTTGTGAGTGGTCGATCAGTGCATTTGGAGATTCTGATATACTTAATTCGTAAGAAATTCTATAGCGTATGTCAATCTTATCTCTCTTTTATTTTATCAATAACATTTTTTAAGTTGATCGAGATTCGAACATTAGAGACTTGCTGCATTTTTTTTAATAAACAATTCTTTCATTTGCTTTATCAATTGCATTTTTTAAGTTGATCTAGATTTGAACGTTAGAGAATTGCTTCATTTTGGAATATTTATGAAAAAAATTCTTTCATACCATGTAGTATTAAATGTTACGAACATTTTTTTTCTTTGAAATGTTACGAGCATTGAATAACGTGAATTAATTCGGATTATAACTTCTCGTAAATTTAGACAATTCAATTTTTGTAGCACTGCAGTGGAACCCCATAGTTATTAGCATGTTTTTGGAGATATTCGAGACTACCAGTATTGTTTGTTTTCATGTTGTTTTATAAAATAGTATGTTCTAACACATTGTATCTTTAGATGTAGTGTAAGATGTTGATATCATTCCTTTGTGCCGTGTTGGTTGGTGTGTGTTAAAAGTTATATATAGAAAGAATAGTTGTTTGTGATTATTTTCTAAAAACAAATAAGGGATTTTCATAATTATTTTCACAAATAAAATCATTCACGAATGATAAACCTACACAATTACAATTGAATAGTTAAATTTTGTTTAATAAAAAAGAACTAACGAATAGCTTTGGCAGTCCACAATTTTGAAGACCAAAAAGACTCACGAAAACATTAAATGGTTAGATTTTAGCATCATACTTATCTCTAATATATATCATATTCACATTTAATACGAGTCGAATGTGAAAATTGCTTTGAATAAGTGAAATCAATTGCTGATTTATTAATAAACTATTACTTACAATGAACAACTAACAAAATATTTGGTACACATAATTTCTTAGTAAACAATCAACAATATTTAATGTTCATTACAACTTGCCAAATTGACATTCATGATTCAACATTCCACACGCAATCTTGAAATATAAAAATATCAGACAATTCCAAAAAATAACAAAATAAAAGACTTCCCACAATTTCCATGGCATTCTGACCGTCCGATCATCACCAACATCTTCCAAAACTAACAGTCCGGGTCCCACAGGTGACTAAAACGGCCCACATACCGTCCAGATTCATCACGGTGACAGTTACTAGCAGCAAGAAAGATAAACGAACGCGCCAAAAGAGTGGTCTAAAAGCAAACTCGCTCTCCCAGCTGAGCTGGCACCGGAGATAAAGGAGGGATTCTAGAACCGGTTCGGTTGACTCTTTAAGTCTTCCGCATAAATAAATAGATAAGACACAATTACAAAATCCCCATAGGGCCATTTCTCTGGATTCCGATTCCCTCAGACGGAGAATCCCAAACCCACCAGTGTAAAACCGGTTCAGAATTCGATTCGATTCCCTCCGACCTCGTTTCTCTCAGGTAATTTTTTCGCTGGGTTCCGGTTCGATTTTGATTTGGGAGATTTTTTGTTGGGTTTTGTTGGAATTATGATTTCAATTTTGTTAAATTTGAATTGTTTTGGTTTCAGGGTAGTGGTGATTTTGCGGCTATGGAGGTGACCGTGAAGCAGATGTCTTTGACAGTGGCACTTTTTGGTGTTCTCTCATTCGTTTTCGGAGTTATTGCCGAAAACAAGAAGGTAATTGTGAATTTTGTGATGTATTCCCTGATTATTTTGTGTATATTGTGTTCTAAAACTGTAGCCTCCCGTGGTAGTTTAGACTATTGACTGAACTAAAAGGAAATAATTGTGGCCTCTTGGACGGTTTGATAGGTGAAATTGGTGAATTTTGTATTAGAACACTGAACACTCAATGGGTCTTTCCGAAATTTGGTAAATATTGTAAAGAAATGTTTCCTTTGTTGTGTGTTTTCCCGTCTTCTCGGCAGGTGAATCACCTGTAGACAAGAGTGAAACTTGTTCGACAATTGAGTGTCCCTTACTAATTTTGAGTAAAACAAAGACAAGTTATTTGTGTATTCATGGTTGGAAGACGTGACACAGAACCGAGCGTAATGGCGTTCTAGGATTCATATAGCCGATCCCACTTAGTGGGAAAAAGCTTTGTTGTTGCTATTGTTGTTGTTTCAAGTTACTGGTGGTGAAATAAATTCTGATTTGCACTTATATGATCGAGCGATTCTGGTTAATAACAAGAAACAAAAGGAAACGTTTCTGTAGGATATTTATCCTAGTGTGTGGAAATTACAGCAGAAAAAATATTACGAGTCCTATTCGTATATTCCCTTTCTTTATTTGTGAAGTAGTTGCATGTCTTCTTTGCTACTAAATAGATTCTTTGTTTTGATCTCTTGACAGCCAGCAGTTGGAACTCCTATCGCTGGGAAAGATGTTGTGATCTGCAAGTATCCTACAGATCTATCAGTTGTCTTCGGGTATCTGTCTTTTGCCTTCCTCCTGGTATCTACAGTCGCTGGATTCTTGTCGTTGTTTTACCCATACAAAGGGAAGTCCCTCCCACAAGCTGCTTTGTTCCGAAGCACTAGTTTCGTCATATTCTTCAACATTTCTCTGTGAGTGTTCTTTTCTGTGCGTCGCATTTTTGTATATATCTATATTAGATTTTGAACTCTGACAAGTTCTATGATGCCGGCAAGTCATCTGCTTTTCATTGCCTATATAAACATATTTCGTCTACCATTTCTGGATCTGTTAGCTTTTATGTCACGCAGGATGCATCAAATAGTTTAGAGTAGCTGACCAAGATAAATTCCATTATGCCACCACTGTGACCGTAAAAGCTGCTCCACCCACTCTTTCTAATCGCTGTTCGTTGGTGATGGTTCTATTACGCAGGCTTACAGCAGGACTAGCTGCGGCTCTGTTGCTATGGCCTACAATAACCGAGCAACTTCATCTCACAAGAAACGTTCATCGCAATCTCAAAACAACCTGTCCAACTGCTAAGACGGGTCTCCTTGGTGGCGGTGCTTTTGTATCCCTTGATGCGTCGCTCTTTTGGTTGGTTGCCCTCATGTTAGCCGACAACGCTCGAGAGGACTATTTTGAGGAGACAGAAAAGGATGTTAAGGGTGAATATGGACAGGTTTCTGCAATCGATTTCGATGGACATGCCAATATTAAAGGAAGTGCTTGAAGTGTGCTAGCGTCGCGAGAAGCGGCTAGGATGTCTGTTTCATAAGTACTCTTCTATTTCCTATCTATGTTCGTAAGCTTGCGTGTCGAGCAACTTTATGTAGTGAAAATGCGTGTAGATACGGTTGGAGATTGTTCGGTACTATCTATATGTGGTTATGGATTTGGTAAAATGAAGCATGATGAACTTTTTAAATTGACCTCTCCAACTCTTCCTCAAATTTTCTTTCCACTAGTTAGTAGTTGCTATTTAATTCTTAGCAAACCTTTAAAGAAAGGGATATCATTTTTTTATTAAAAGGGAATTAGTTGTGGGGTTTACACCACATCGAACTTTAATAATTCGAACTATCTATTTTTCAAGTTGCACTTCTTAAATCATCCTTAAAATATTAGTCAATTTGAAAATATTTGAGACATCTAACTGAGTTTAAAGAAATTGACGAACACTTTGTTCTATAAGAAATAATGAAATTTCATTGTGATAATTAAATAAGAAATAGTTTAGGATTAAATTGAATTTTTGCAAGGATAATTTATGAATCGAGACTTACAAAATAGACAATTCGGATCATTGAAGTTTGATGTAGGGTGAGTTTCACAACTAATCTCTATTTAAAAAAAAATGAAAGGTTATGTTATTTCTTATATCACAAGTTAAAGCTTATTTGTGCAAAAAATCGATCAAATTAGTGATCGTTTAGTACTAATTCATATGTATCAAACAAACCGAATATTTTGTTAACTATTAAGATTTTCAAGATGAATCATCTAAAATTTTGTTCGTTAGTAATCCAAACGATTTCGATTGTTTAATAATTCATGTAATGGAAAGATAATCTATTTCCATTAAGTGATTTATTAGATAATCGAAAACAAAGGATCTTGAAGAGTATTCACATAAGAGCTGCAAGAGAGGGCCCTAGACCAGCTGAAAAAAGCCCAACGGTTTTTGATTATGATGCCTGCAATGAGAAATCGAATACAGAATTATGCTTCGGTTCTTAGGGCTGGGCCGTAACAACCCAGATTACCACTGGGCTTTTCATGCCACAAATTAAAATTCAATCTTATCCGTTAAACTAATCCGGTCAAACCCGTCTACCCAAAAAACCCTAGTCCTAAAGCTCCGCAAACCCTATTTAGACGCAGCTCATTTCCGTTGACATCAAATCAATCAAAAACCCCACCAAAACCCTACTCTACTTCCACACTCTCCTCCTCCTGCTCTGCGTGGAGCAAAATGCCACTCGGGCAAAGAGCCGGCGACAAGAGCGAGTCTCGGTTCTGCGGCGTGGAGACCGAGTTCAACGATGACATGCCCCACGTCCTCGCTTTCAATCTCTCCCATGGCTCCTTCGACTTCGTCCTCGCTCCTTTGGTCCGTACATTTCTCCTTTCTTTTTCCTAATTATTTTTCAAATTTCGTATTTCATTTGATTCTTCTGTTTATGTTGAGGAATGAATGGAAAAGTTGATTGGAATTTGTGTTTTGTGATGCTCGTATGGAAATGGTGGCCAATTAGCCAGTCACATAATCGGCTTCGCAGCTTCTCTTTTGATGTGAATGGTCAGTAAGCTCACCAATAGCAATGCCGCGTTGGTGGCTGTTGCTCGTGCAGCTGCTCGACTATGCAGCTTCACTCTACGGCCACTAACTACATTAGTATCAAATTCGACTTAACAATATTAGAAATGTTGATGATTCACTCCAATTGTTTGTTGATATGACTTGTATAGTTGTTTTTGTCGAGGAGTGATAGAAATAGTCAATTGAAACTTGTTTTTTGTAATTCTTGTATGGTGGCCAATTAGCCAGTCACATAATTGGCTTTTCAGCTGTTTTTTATGATGTGAATGGTCAGTAAGCTCACCGACAGCAATGCCATGTTGGTGGATGTTGCTTATGCAGCTGCTCGACAATAGAGCTTCACTCCACAGCCACTAACTACATCAATATCAGTTTCCATTTGAAATGATCGTAAATATTGATTATTTCCTTGTCAATCATTTGTGGGTATGAATTTCTTAGTTAATGTTTCTATGTTGTCTGGCAGACTTGTTTTGTCGGCGTTTGGGAAATTTCTTTGCAATTGGTGGCTAATTAGCCAGTCACATATAGCCAGAGATGGCTTCTGTTTTGTGTGAATGTTCAGTAAGCTCACCGAAAGTAAGGCTCTGTTGGTAGTCCTTAATGGTGAACTGTAACCTCTGGTTTCACCTTTAGGTTATTAATACTTTGTTAAATTTGTGACACCTTTGTATTTCTTATCCTTGGTGGCTATGAGGACTTTCCTTTGAGCTACAAAGGTTTTTATCTTATAGCTTGTTTGGTATCGACTGTCATGTATGTCAAATGCATTACATATTCATGTGGTGTTAATTTTCTGACTTCTGTTCAGCAAATTGTTTGTACTGCTAAGTGTTTGTCTGTGTATGATCATTTTCCCCCCTTTGCTTTCTTTGATCACTGATGCACAACTTGCACAAAGGGTAGTGATTCTTTTTCAACTTCATGATGTAGATGGATCCTGCTTACCGACCAAGCTTAATGCAAAAAGACAGTGGTGTTTCTGGTGTTCTTCCATTTGCTGGGTCAGACTTGGTTTTGAGTCCTTCCCAATGGAGTGGTCATGTCGTTGGTATGTACTTCTCTAGACTTTGCTTGTGTTACATTGTCTTCTCTTGGTAATTTAATGGACTTTACTCAACTTAAGTTTTATGTTTACTAAGAACTTGGCTGAATAATAATGGATTTGATGGGATAAGCCTGTTTACTTTTCAACCACATTTTCCCTTGTCTCCTATGACTGCTCATAGTGGTTTTTTGAATTTATTCAGGAAAGGTTAGCTCATGGATTGACTTAGATTCAGAAGATGAGATCCTCCGGTGCGATTCAGAAACTACTTTGAAGCAAGATATAGCATGGGCTTCTCATTTGTCCCTGCAGGTTGATAGCATTGAAATTTGTTTATTTATTTATTGGAACTGCAGTGTTGTGAAATATTTGAATTGCTATCTCAGGCCACATGCTAAGCTGAATAATTTTCTGTGTGCTTTGCTAATAATTGATTCTGGAAAATGGTTATTGAGTTTTACTGTCTTGCTGGCTTTTAATTGTCATCTATTGCTTGGTGCAGGCATGCCTTCTTCCAGCTCCAAAGGGGAAATCCTGTGCTAATTATGCTCGATGTGTAAATCAGCTTTTACAGGGCCTAAGCAGTACGCAGGTACCATTGTTAATCCAAATCAGTTTACATATTTTGACCTGTTTGTGTAATCTACTTTTTGAGCTCATTGGGTTTTCCATTCATGTTATGTTCTATTGTAGTTGTGGTTGCGGCTTCCATTGGTCAAGTCAGACAGTGAAACCATGGATGTAAACACTGATACCTCGGTGAGTGATGTCCCTTCTGATTAAGTTTTCAAAATAGGTTTACCATTTTGATAATTATTTCCTTCTTTTGGTGGAGCTCGTAGTTTCCAGCGACTGGTTTTTCAACTTATATCATGACTCTTGGCTAATATATACTGCATTTTACATAGATGTTCAACCTCTGTTGCATATGGCTCTTGTTGACCCTACAAAATGATAACTCTTGTGCTAAATCTACTAATAAGCATGATGAGTTGGGATGTGTAGTACTTGATCTTCTTTTGTAGTCCGTATAAAGGCTTTGTTGTTAGATGTCGTATACCAAAGAGGGAGGTCGGGTGTGGAGAGTTGCCTCTTTTTTATTGTGCATTCAGTTGGGTAGTCAAACTTATATGGGGTTTAAACCTTCTGCTTAAACTTGGCCTTCTTTATGTGTGTGAAATAATGGCATGATGATTGACAATTTCACATACCAGATGATAAAACTCATTTTTCTTTAACTTTTTTTTTTTTTTTTTTTTTTTGCAGGATGATTCTTGGGAGATTTGGAATTCATTTTGCATGCTATGTGAACATCACAGTCAGTTATCAGTTGCTCTTGATGTTTTGTAAGTGTAACAATGACCATTTTCTTATAACTTGTGTGATTTGTGTTTATGTGTTTTGATTGTGCCTGAAGTAATTTTCATTTTATTTTAATCTGAACAACTTTCTTTTCTCCTCAGGAGTTCACTACCTTCTGTAAACTCTCTTGGACGCTGGTTTGGGGAATCTGTTAGAGCAGCCATATTCAGTACTGATGTAATTATATGCTAATTGGTGTATTAGGGAAACCTTAAGTTGATTACTTGTTGGTTCGATTGTTGCTTAATTTTCTAATAGTGGTCTTGTTCATTGCCAGTGCTTTCTAACAAATGCCTGAGGCTATCCATGTCTGTCAAAGCGCCACCAGAATCTTGTTCATGGGCTTTTCAATCATTCCATGCAGGTATTTAAGAAGAAGTTATCAATGGTATTTCTATGTACCGTTGGAGTTTGTTTTCCATTTCTGTGCATTGCAGCATAAGCAACCCATAGTTTAACATTTCTTTTTATGGTTTACCTTCTTTCCGAATTGTTTCTATGGTTATTGCTCAGAAGTTACTTACAATCTCAAGCAAGTTCCAATCTAAGTATGATTTTGTAGTTGCAAAAATTCTTTATAGACATCGTTAGTTTGTTTTAGATCTTATGGTCAACTTCTTGCAATATTTTCTAATCTTTGTCATCATGGAAAATTTAATTGCAGATAGTTCTATCAGGAGAACCAGTGCATAGTCTTCCCAAGATAAATTCACTTATAGCTGCCAATGATAATGATAATAATGTTGATGGTAAGACCTACCTTCTGTATACAAGTGCATTGTCTTGAATAATAGAAACTTGTATGGTAATTGAACTATTTGAGGCAGAAAAGCTAAGCCAATATATGTAACTTAGTTATTTTTCAAGTGCTTCAAGTTGTCTTTTAAAGTGCTACTTTTATTTCCTAAATGATTTTTGTTCGATTCTGAACCTTAGGATTCATATAGATCAAATACAAATATGAAGGAAACAATGTAAAGGGAAAACATTTATTTATTAATTTTGCTGACACAGAACAAAATCAAGAAGCAAGGTAGAAGATACCTAGACAAAGAAAACACTTTCAGTTTAACACAATGTATTTTCATAAAGCGATTACCCCAACCATATAAGTTGAGTTTCTTAATAGCTATGTCCATTGTCTTATATTATTCTTGACATCCAGGTGTCCAGCAACATCCGTTGAGGCTATATTTGGATTATGTTGGCTATCTCTACCAGAGGATGGATCCCCTTCCGGAGCAAGAACGGCTTGAGGTGCCTATCCCTCTCTCTTTCTTTCTCTGTGCGTGTGTATTTGGATTTTGGAAATTTTTTTCCCAGCTCTTAATTTTTTCTAACCCTTTAAGTCTCTTATGGCAGATTGGTTACAGGGATTACTTGCCGTCACCCTTACAGGTACGGTTATTTCCCAAGTGATTGGATTATTGTCTTTTGATTAGTACATACCTTAATCGCTCTTTTCCTATTTTCATTGTTACATGTGATTTTCCATCCTCTTGTAATCAAATACAAGTTAGGCTAACTCTGCTATTCTATTGCAGCCTCTCATGGATAATCTAGAAGCTCAAACCTATGAGACATTTGAGAAGGACACAATGAAATATATTCAGGTATGCCTGCATTTGCAAATAATTGCATAAACGATCATTTCAGATATTTTTACATTGTTATTTTCTAATCTGCCAGACCCTGCGTAAAGCGGGAGTCTTGTGCACTGGGTACGACCTTTTTTATAATCATATTTAAATACATCAACAACACATTGGACTTTGTTTATGTTTATTTTTCCTTTTTCTTTTTCTTCTTGGAGGGACCGAGGTTTCTTCTGAAAGGGAAGACATAGTAATGCTTATTACTTTATATTGATCTAAATTGTAATAGTTTGTTCTTATCTTTGTTAGTACCAAAGAGCAATTTGTAAAGCTTTACAGGACAGGGTTCCAGATGACAAGGCATCTTCTGTAACTACCGTAAGCTGCTCACTTGTCACTTTGCTTTCCCAAGTTACTCATGAATGGTGTTTTATTAAGTTTGATGACAAAATGTCCTGACATTGCCTATGTGATATTTGCATTTGTGTTAAGGTATTGATGGTTTTAGGAGCAGGACGTGGACCTCTTGTAAGGGCATCATTGCAGGTGCCTTCTCTTCCTTCTGCGTACTTGTTTTTAGATTATGTTGTTTATCTTCAGACTTGATATTATATGTAGCAGGTCATATTGATGTGGATCCAATTCCACTTGTTCATATGTAGGCAGCTGAAGAAACTGGGCGCAAGCTTAAAGTGTACGCTGTCGAAAAAAATCCAAATGCAGTTGTTACACTTCATGTGAGTTGCAAATTCTCTCTTTATCTTGTTTCTTTCTATGCTAAGTTGTAAAATTATGTTTCTAGGATGTGCAACTCATCATGCTGTACATTAACACAAAAAAGGTGTTACTGTGGGTATTTGTTTGAAGTAGACTTTCCTTGTTTTTTCATCTTACACATTTTTTATTTTGACGTGTCTATGTTTGTTGGAGCAGAGCTTGGTTAAACTGGAGGTGTGGGAAAACATTGTTTCCATAATTTCATGTGATATGCGTTACTGGGATGCTCCAGAGAAAGCTGACATTTTGGTATGCAAGTAATCTTATAATAACATATTTTTGTTTTTTGGTTTCCTTATTAACATTGCCTTTGATTGTGTAATAGGTTAGTGAATTGTTGGGTTCTTTTGGTGATAACGAGCTGTCTCCTGAGTGCCTTGATGGAGCTCAGAGACTTTTGAAGGATGATGGAATCTTGATACCTTCATCGTATGGATACTTTTTTCTTTATTTTGTATTTTTTATCAAAGGTGCTTCCCTGTTATGATCTGTCCAAAAGTCAGTATTGACATTGTGATATCTTGTCGTGAGATTGTCCAGATTTCATGGTGTCTAAATGTTCAACATCAATACTTCCATTTGAAAGCTATTTTTTGGAGTTTTCTCCATTAGCGTCTTCTCTAAAAAGCCTATGCGCCTGTTTTCAGGTACACGGGTTTTATCCAACCGGTGACTGCTTCAAAGCTTTACAATGATGTATGCCCGTGTCTTTGTGCCCAAAGGTTTTCATTTCTATCTGTTTGAAGATTCCATTGTAAAGTTTTGTGGTTATCTTTCAGGTTAAGTCGCGCACAAAGATATTGCACACTTTGAAACTGCTTATGTTGTTAAATTGCACAACATTGGAAGACTTGCTCTTCCTCAACCTGTGAGTTTTTTTCACTGGACTGATTCGGTAATTAATTTTATGAACTGGATTGTATAGGGAGTCATTATTCGGCAATCATTTAGTCACGAACACTGGATTTTTTGTTAGGTTTTCACGTTTGATCACTCAAAACGCTCTACTGACAAAAGCAATAACCGGTACACGAAGTTGCAGTTTGGAATAACAAGTGATACTGGCTCAGCCATGATTCACGGTATGTGGCGGCGTAGTTTTTCTTTAGGTGATTAATATTCTTGAATGAAAATAAGTCAGTATGTTGCATTTTGTGAACATGACTAAATTCTACTTTGATTGTGCTGTTGACTCATTGGGCCTATTTTTCGCGTCACTAAAATTTCTTTTCTACACCTCCAGGATTTGCTGGCTATTTTGATGCAACATTATACAAAGAAGTTCATCTTGGCATTGAACCATCAACATCAACACCAAACATGTTTAGCTGGTAATGCAGTCCCTCCTATCCTTTTCTTGTTAGGCTACCGCTTGCCATCGTTTGTGCTTTGCTTTTTCTTTACGATTATTAGTTCTTGAAGAAAATATTCAATTTTTCCCCCTAGTTATTTTATTTTTTTAATGGTTACTTGTTCTATAAGTGCTAAACACATGATGGCTAAAGCTTATGCGGTAGTTGTATGGCTTACGTGCTGTTTATCGTTACCCTCAGGTTCCCGATATTTTTCCCACTAAGGACACCTATTACGCTTAGTCCTGGCGCTTCTCTTGAACTACATTTCTGGCGGTGTTGTCATCCTACCAAGGTAATATTCTTTCTTGTTTAACAAAGATTGAGGCCATTATCCAAGGGATAATAATATATTTGAGCAAAAGAATAGTGTGCTGCTGCATCTCTTTGACGTGTTTTCGGTTTTTTATGAACAATAAGCCTAGTTCATATGGATCGGTGATGGTGATGCAGGTTTGGTACGAATGGTGCGTGGCTTCGCCCTCCAGTTCGCCAGTTCACCAGTTCACAACAGCAACGGACGTTCATACTGGGTTGGGCTCCAGTAGCCCCGCGATTTTGTTCTACAACAAGTTTCGACATCTATGCCCATTTTCATAGCGGTGTGAACTAGTTTTGGTGCCTCCGCTGCCGCAGATCGGGGCAAATATTTCACCTGAGTTCCTTTTTACGCAGAATATATATATATATATGTATATAAGCAAATAGCAATGTATACCAAGTGTAAACTGTTAAGATTTCATTTTTTGTTGTTTGTTTCCATAAAATTGCATCTGGACATGATATACCGGAACCACTTGATTAGGAGATAAAGACAGGCTCTAAGCAGTGTTTTTAGTTTATTTGAAATGATTAAAAATTGTCTTTTCAAGAGAGATAAGTCAAAGATTTTCAAGGCAATTTTTTATTTACCTACTTTTTAGTTATTTTTAACTAGCATGTGCCCAACTCTGTGTGTGACGGTGTCAACATTTTTTATTTTTTATTTTGAAATAGAAAGGAGAGAGAAAGAGAGTGAGGAGAGAGGTTTTTATTTTTTAAATTAAAAAATGTGCTAGGATGATGTGTTGGTGAGATTTGAAAAGAGAAAAAAAATTGATTTGTGCAAACTACATTACTATCTAAGGAAAATTAATGAAAAGGGTTTGAAAACTTTGAGTTTTAATGATAAGGACAAAATAATTGGTAAAGTAAATAGTACCATGTTTGATTTTTTAGTGTAAAAATATGATTTTTCGTTAAAATGAACAGTACCGTATGCGTTTCGTTAAAACTTCCATCTATCTATGGTTATATGTTGTGATAGAAGATTAAATTGTTTTTTTACTTTTTTTTTGCTTGAAAAAAATAATTTTATTAAGAAATAATTTAGATAATAATAGATAAAATAAGAGATGATACAATACATTATTATAGGTAAACGAGCTCAAATCTAATTTTCTTATGAAGTTATTATTTTAATCCTTTAATTAAAATTGAACATGAATAAAATATATGAACAGAAGTGTAATTTTACACAACAAAAATTTTGTTTTTTTTTCTTTTCAAGGCCTCACTCTCTTCTCTCTCCACTCACACGTTCTCTCACTCTTCCTCTCTATCTCTATTTTAAAAACAAAAATAAAAGAATTTCCTGCACACTTTGTATTCGCTCGTATGCTAGTAAATATTAAGTTAGTAGAGTACCCTTTTAAAAAGGCAAGGTGGCGTTTGCCAAATTAAAAATCTAAGACTTTCCTCGTTGGTTGCCACATCCTTATCCTTTGGAATGTCCGAAGGTGAAATAATCCCGTGGTAAGTTGGGCGTTTATCAGTGTCGTCCATTTTATTAGATACTATCGATATTTTTATAGAAATATTTAAAAAAACAAAAATAAGGATAGAGTCTAAACTTCACCTTTCATTGGAGAAGCTCTCAAATTTAAGCTAAAATCGATAGATACTGTTGATATTTTTGACTTATTTGTTAAATATCAGAAAAACTCATATATTTCGTCTAAACCAATGTTTAATAATCTCTAAAGTTTTATTCTAAATTTCTATCATTTCCATCGAAAACAATCAATATCGATATCAATATTTGATATTCGGATATATCAGTTTTCACCGATAACAAGATTTTAAGCACTGGTGTTTATTGATCAAGTGCAAAGATATTTCTATATACTAGGAACATAAACGGGTATATCACGTGTCAGGACTCATAATACAAGTGGAAAAAGGAATATATTTTTAATTGTCCACACTTCTATTATGACACATGATCTATCGACACATTTTAGGCACCGAAAAATCGAGATCTAACTGGGATCTCAGGCAACTCGGCTTTTAAGTACCGAAGATACTGTTGATACCTCTCCACAAAAGCTTGAAGAAAATGATACACAGATTCAACGTCAAATATTGACTAGAAACTCAGTACCAGTCATGCTGTGATCGGAACCAGTGACAGTCCTGAAAAATCAGTAACTAGACATCTCGACGCACCGAAGTGCATCGAGAATCCATGGCCTCTGTGACCGGCATAGAGGGCCAGACATGGGTATATTGCATATAAAACTTTGAAATATCGCTAACAAGAGCTAAAATCCTTATAAATGCACATTATCAAAACACTGAAGTTTGCAAGATACTGTTTTCACCCAATCGCTAACAAAAGCTAAAATCCTTAGAAATTATATGTTAGAATACAGATCCTTTCTACCAATGCCGATCGTTCATTCGAACTTTCCATTATCACTATAGCCAAATTTAACGACTCCTGCAAACCCAAACCAGAAAAGAAACCATGTAAGAAAATCATCCAACACACAAATCACCAAAACTGAAAAGTTAAATGAACAAATAAACACTTCGCGACGAAACCCATTTCCACAAAACTCAGTCCACAGAAAATTATAAATCCCAGTCAACAAAGTGATGCACTACAAAAAACAATACTCTAAATTTATATGTGGTTAATAAGCTCTGTGACATTTAGAAGGCCATGGTTGTGGCTATTTTGAAGTGTGGCTGATAAGTAATGCGGCTGAACTACATTGGCAAAATTCACGAGACCAAAGTATAGGGCAGGTCAAAAACTGTGTTTGGGTGACGGACTTCAAAGTATGAAATTGCGAAGTGATGGTATTTTAATGTGATGGAGTATTATGCACTTGTTTAGTCAACCTGCTCACTAAAGTGCAACTGAATCATAGATTTCCCAGTTTAATTTCAAAGTTCATCTCAAACCCTAACAGGCATAAAAAATATATAACAATCTGAATCAGCAATTGTTAAAGACATACCAGAAAACAACACAGTCCAAGTATGCAAATATGCAAATATGATTTCCAGTTCCAATCAAGCTTATATTTATCAACTTTCTCTACAACAGAACAAATCACCCACTTCTTAAAGAGGAAATGGTTTTCGTTATTCAAGAACAGGCTAGAAGATTGCAAGAGATAGATGCACTAAAATTGGGCAAAAGGAACACCCTGTAGGTTGCGGAACAAAGTGAAGCAGGGAAATTGAAAGGTTGGCCGCATCCACTGAAGAACCAGAGAGTGAAGAGGAGGTGCCATTCAATGTAGAACAAGAGAAAAAAGAGGCAAGGAAGAAAGGAATATAGAATAGGGACTTGTTTCAATGAAGTAAACAAGACAAATAAAGAGCAAAAATCCTTTTATTAATGTACATATAGAAGACATACCGAATTATACAAAATTTGGGAGCTGTTCCCACCAGAAAAATCATATTACCTTTGAATACAAATTATCGCTTTGAATACTACAGGTTTCAATACAACTAGAAATAATAAAGCAGAAGATGTTAATTCGAAAAGAAAAGCTTTCTCTCATGGCTATACCTCAAAAAAGCACAAACAATGTTACGACTCCTGCAATCCGAACCAGAACCAGAACAGGAATCATCAAACACACAAATCACCAAGTTGAATGAACAAAAACAGTTTCCAACAAAACCCATTTCCTCAAAACTTAGTTCACGGAATAAAGAGATGAGGGACAAGCAGGTCAGCAAAGTGATACAACTCACCAAAATAAAAAACCCTAAATTGGCAAACCACAAGACCCTGCAAAAGATAAAATCAAAGAACATATCTCGAAAACAACAAAATCCGAATTTCAGTTCCACCCAATCTTATATTCCTCCAACTTTAAAATAGATATCTAAGCACAGATCAGAAAACAAGAAAATCAAAACACAAAGTAGAAAATCAAAACTTGTTAAGGACAGATTAGATATTAGAATCAGAGAGAAAGAGGAGAGACGATGTACACTCACACAAATGTTGTTCCAACACGGGATACCAACCTAACAAGCAAAACACATAAATTTAGGTTAGGAATCGATACGATATCATCACAAATTTAGCTGAGTAAAGCTCTCAAATTTACCTCAAGCGGCGGAGATCGGGGATCACTACTGGGTAACACTTCAGTTTCTTGTCCACTATCCGGAAAGTGACTTTCCCGTATTTGGCAAAATCGTTTGCTGCCAAGATACATTTCGGTGGCAAGATATTTGGCGCTGTTTCGTCGCCGGAAATCAAGGCGGTGACATGAATGCTCCGCTGAATACGAGAACCAGAGGTTCGGTTTATGAACTGCCTACCCTTGATATAGATGCTCTCTCCAGATCTGAGCCTACAGATCAGTTTCCCATCCTTTTCATGTTTTTCAAACATCGACACCTCCGTTATGACAAGAACCGCGCCTGTCTCGTTCCCAACCTCTGCAGCTCGACAGAGGACGCCGCCCATTAAATGTTAGTGCTTTGTATTCGTATTGGATTCGATTTTGTGAGTTCGGAGAGTTTCGAATGATAGCGGAAACGGGATGCAATGTGGAACACTGTCCCTCTTTAAGATTCTGGTACCAACGCCGCCATTTGAGACCTCACGTGCTCTGCACGTGTATAATAAAACAAACACCGCATGCTGTGACGGCTGACAGAATTTATCTGTCAAGATAGCTGACAGAATATCCATATACTAAATCTCAGTTCAACAGTAATGTTCGTCTATTGACATAAAAAACAAAAAAAACAAAAACAAAAAAAAAGCTACATGATGTTTAGATAACTAAAATAAACTTGAAATTTGGAATAAATTCATAATTTACAAATTCCCTTATTTGTATTTTTAAGTATAAAAATTTAAAATTTTCGCATGAAAAAATAAAAAATTTAGAATTTGAAACCTCAAATTCTCAATTTTAAAATTTAGGTGTAATTTCACTTCCATTTTCACTTTTACCTCAACTCGTTCACGTAGTCTCTCTCGGTTGGGTTTTCTCTTTGGCGCTAACCCAATTCTCCATGATGCAGATTGTTCCCATTTTCACTTCCGTTGAGGTCTATTTTTGTGTTAAGAGGAATTGGTGGGGCAATTGGTACTTTGCTCTGCATTTGAGCAATGTTTATGTTTTTACCTATTTTGATAATGCTTGGATTGCTTCATGGTTTTTAATTGGGTTTTTGTGTACGAGTTAAATAGATAGTTCATAGGTTTGGTTCCATATTTATTGGGAAAAGAAAAACACTAAAAGGGGAACATAATAACCCTAGCACGATTATGTATGAAATAAATTAAATTTGTTAAATACTCATATTTTGAGTGTTTTTGTTTGGAAGAAAACTACTAAACTCCAAATATGTATGGAGTAGATTCATTATATAACAGGTTAATTGTATGGGTTACCGCTTTATTACTTACTAGAAAAACTGCCCGCGCATTCCCTAATTTCAACAGAAAGACATACAAATAAAAAGAGAGAAATTCACCAAAAAACTCGAAAACCTTGCGGGGAGCTGTTATGCTAGTATGCCCTCTTATGTTTAAGGAGCAATTGAAAGAAAATAGTTCGTGAACATCACGCTTCTGCTGGTAGCGCAATGCGTCGAACGAATTTGATTTCACAGCAGTACAACCAAAAAATCAAATAACGTAATTGAAGAAAAACAAAGATTAATAGCCATATACACCTATCCATTTTCTTTTGTGTACAAAATTTGTCATTTGCGCCTAATTTGAAGTCATGCTTGTTTAGAGATATAATCATAGCAAATAGAAAGACTCAATCCATTGCTAACACCAGCAACCATAATTTCCTACCTAAAACAACTTAGCTCAATAGATTTCTTAGGAATTAGGATGCCTAAATCTCTTGAAAATCAAATCAAAGCTACAAAGTGATTCGCTTAAAGCGATCAACATATCAAACCGAGTCCAAGATCACCAGCCGCATTCAGATATATACTCAAAATAATTTATTAGTACAATATAAACTTATATTTTGACCAAGAAAAAAGACAGTTCATAGATATATTTCACCATTTAAATCACAAAATCGAATGCAACAACAATTCTTGGAATAGGGGATCCTTCAATGTTATGAAACATCCAAACCGATCTTAAAACTACAAATGTAAGCACCAAACTCTGTAAAGGAATCATCTCTGATACAACATTTGCCTATCTGCCTTCTCTCATCCCCTTCACATATATATTCAACCATTTTGGTGCACTACAAATTCGAGAAAAAATCAAGTCGGCCTCTGCCGTGCAAATGGTTTGTTCCACTTATTTTCTCCAGTTCCCAAAACTATAGATATGACCGTAATAAAACATACATGACCCTCACAGAGTGCAGCCCCCTAGCAATCTAACAAAGAGAGATTTACGTCAAAAGAGAAAAAGAAAAGAGCTTTAAATGCGAGTTATTTGGTTTGTTTTCATTTTCTATTCTTCTCTTACGGACTAGGCATACACCTATCCATCCATCTACCCTACATGTATAAATCTATATACACACATATATTCACACACATCTATATACACGGACAACATTGAGTTCAATCCAAATCTATAGTCCTAACAATGTAACTGTTTAAATCAGAACATATTGATCATCATGAATTGCAGCATTAGCATTCTAATTAGAAACTTGTAGCCATAAAATTGAACATTTCACTACCGTGTTTGATTGCATTAAACAATCCAATTACCGATAATTACCTTAGCAGAAGCTTGAATTTCTCTGGCAGTCATATCCAAAGCAAGTGCATAGCCTTAAACCATCCAATTTTCACCAATCAAATTTAAAGTCAAAACCAAATCATTAACAGCATCATTATATTAAAATTAAATCATTAGCAGCAGCATTATTAACTGATTAATTAAACTAAATCATTAACAGCAGCACTATTAACTGATTAATTAACTGACCTTGAAAAAAAAACTGAATAATTAACAAAAAAACAGTAACAAAAATTACAAATATACTGGCGGCATAATACATGGTGGTGGATTACGGAACATCGCGAGCTTTCTAATAGATGATCACCGCCAGCTCCACCTCATGGTCCAACGACAACAAAGGGTGGACTTCGGACGTACCGCCGTTCATCAAGTAAGACGACATCCGTTTGAGGAAAAGCACGGGCTCCTTCACAAATCAGAATATAAATCAGAATTAAGAGAGGAGGGGGAAAGAGGAGAAAGAAAGAGGTGGACCTTGGGAACAGCACCAATACTTCTCCCACCTCCCTCTCTCTACAACAGACAAAATCCCACAAAACCCTGGACGCAACCCATACTTCTCCCACCTCTCTCAATGTGCAAGGAACAGAAATCCAGAAAACCCTCGACGCCACCCATACTTCTCCCACCTCTCTCTCTGCAAGGGACGGAAATCCCAGAAAAACCTCGACGACATTGAACCCCCCAGGTTGCTGAATGACCAAAACGCCCCTAATCCCGTTTTTTGATTTGGATCGAATGGGGCAAAAGAGTTCACTTCGACTCTCTCCGTCCCCATATCTCTCTCACCGTTGTCCCATCTTTCTGTCTCTGCAAGTGGCAGAAAGGAAAGCCTAAATCAAATCCCTGAAATCCCTCGCCTAAATCAAATCCCTGAAATCCCTCGCCTAAATCCTCCCACATTTCTCTTCGACACGCCCTATCTCTCTCTCTCTCTCTACAAACCCCAAACCAAATCTCCTAAATCATCTCTTGGGCACCCCCCATCTCTCTGCAAATTGCAAAAACTTAACCCCAAACCTAATCCGTCAAACCCTCTCTCTCGGACACCCCACACCTCTCTCTCCCAGATGAAGAAGTATGAGGAACAGCTACTGCATCAGGTATGTCTTCAAGCAGCGTTTGCAAAGATGGTGGACGCAAAGGGAACCCAACAAATGATTGAAGCAATATTATACACAAATTATGCAAGTCCAAAGTAACCCATTGATCAAACACACCGAATACTGAAAAAAAAAAATTACAATCGAAGTATAGATTAGTAATTACCTCAACAGCTAACCGATCCAAAAACAAACCCTAGAGCTTCGAAGGACAGAAATGATCACAGAAACAGTAATAGTCCTTCTTCCTTCCCCACTGCGGCTGCTGCCACTTTCTCTCTCTAAAAACCAATTGGAAATTGTTTAGAGAGAGACAGAGAGTGATGAAGATTGGACGAAAGAAGTATGAAAAACCTAAAAGACATGAAAGCTTGAATTCGAGTCCAAATCATCTTCTCTAGCTCTAACACAAGAAGCCCAGAAGCATAAAGTTGCATGAATGCAAAACTCAAAAATCCGAACTCCAGACAATAGTTTAAGAAAAACAGAAATATACAAAAATAAAAAAAAACCAAAAGAAATCAAAACATAAATGTAATCAATAAATAGTTAATTAATTAATCAAATAAATACAACACCCGAATGCCCTGTTTGAACGACCCGACGCAAGAACCCAATAACCCGTCACGGCAAGACCGGACATTTTAGAACTGAATGCATAGTGAAAGGCCTTTGTCTGTGTGTCCTGAGCAGAACAGAGTGAGTGGTGGTGGTTATGTGGTGATGTTTCGGGCAAAAATGGGTGCGTTGGTGCGCCGTGGTGTTTACAGAGAAGAGAAAGAGGGAGGTCCAGGGAGCTAGTGGTTGTTTGATGGAGTTGAGGCTCGCCGGAGTGGCGAGTTGTGATGTAGACTCAGGCCTCTCGGCCTCTGGGTTTTACGGAGGGTTGAAAGAGATGGAGTCTCTGAAAGAGAGTGAAAGAGAAAGGGTTAGAGAGAGGTTGAGTGTGACACAAATCCCTGAAATCACTCTCCCTACAACCAAATCCCTGAAATCACTCTCCCTACCCCCAATCCAACTGATCGAGACGGACGAAACCCACCCGCCAACTCCAGATAACACACATTGCGGGATTAGAAATTGAATAAAGATTATGTTTGAAAGATATGAACGATTGTGTATTAAATTATTAATACGTTTTAAATGGAAAATGGCAGGAAAACTTTTACATACAAAATATAAATCACATACAAAAGATCAGTCTTTTTTATATCTACATGCAAAAAAAATAAAAGATTGACACATTCCAGTTAGATCGTTTATGTGGCTTTCGATCAACAGTTGTAGTTGTATACAAAAAAAGTATTTTTCTATAGGAAAACTAATGAAAAGGGCTTGAAAACTTTGAGTTTTAATGATAAGGACAAAATAAAGGGTAAAGTGAATAGTACCAGGATTGACTTTTTAGTGTAAAAATATGGTTTTTCGTTAAAGTGAACAGTACCGGGAGCTTTTCGTTAAAGTTCCCTTCTTCTATCTACATGCAAAAAAAAATAAAAGATTGACACATTCCAGTTAGATCGTTTATGTGGCTTTCGATCAACAGTTGTACTTGTATAAAAAAAAGGTAAAATAGTCGAACACAAATGAAAGAAAGATGGATTGAATTATTAGGAAATCTATGTTGGAGTTGTTAAAATTCACTTTCATTTGTACAATTCAAACTTCCACACATTTGTTCATACAGTTTACCAATTCTGCACACTACTAATTGCCAAGCTAGCAAGATAATGAATTTCGTGAATGAAAAAAATGATACACAACTTCAACTTACCATGCCAAAGAAGCTCCAGAGGAGTAGCTTCCTCCTTACTTTATGCATCAAAAGCATTGGAACTGTAGATCCTAGAAATTATAAAAATCCATCCGGTCAAGAGACATAATGTAATAGTTGTGGGTAGGTGCAATCAAGAATCCAAGATATACCTGACAAATTTGCGATTCCATTATAATTTCACACAAAAAAAGATAAATTTTGATTCAAAGAAAACAATCAATCTGTTATAGATCAGACCAACCAAATAAAGAATCTTTGAACATGATTTTCAACCTAACTATAGAAAGGAGCTTTATAACAGCACAATCAACATCATTTCAACCCAACTCAAAAGAAACTGATTGTGCGTCATACGTTTATAAACACAGACAAAATATATCAACTTTCATAACTAATCAGAAGCTTACAAATGGCAGGTAAGAACATACTCAAAGTTTACAAATGTCAGGTAAGAACATACTCAAAATAATGAATTTCACGATACATGCATTTCAATTTACAAACCACAAGTGTAATTCCCATTGAATCAAATGAAATTCAATCAGAAAAAATGAACTTAAGAACAACCCAAAAGAGCCATCCAAAAACCAAAAGAAAGCCACTTGCTATTTAGCTCACCAACCCCATTGAATCAAAACAAATTCAATCAGAAAACAAAATATATTAATGCCACACATGTACAAAATGTTTGTGGGGATGAGCAATACCTTATCATGGCCATGTATAATTTTATCAAAGCAACGTGAGAATTCCTGCAAAATTAAAAGAAAAGCATGTAAAGGAAAAAGAAACCACAATTTTTTGGTAATTCATCTCAACAGCCAGAAATTCATCTACTGCCAGAATAGCAGCACCAATTTCCATTGATATAATTAAACAGTATATAGAAACAAAGAAATCATCTTTGCATCTTGCAGATCAACTGTCATATAATGTATCAACTGCTCAACTAACAAATAAAAATAAAAAAACAACGCACAATGAAGGCGCAGGATTACATTAACCGCCAACTTACCATCCATACCACAGAAAATGCATCTGAACTTTAGTTTATAAAATCACAGGCTGCTTTCTCTCTTCCTGCCTTTTAACAATTCACCAGTAAGATTATCTCACTAAAAACTTATATTAGCAAATCCAATGACGAATGATGTGAAACTGAAGCTGTAAAAGATGAAATTACCATCTGGTTTTCCCTCATGGGAATTTGTGAGTTTCGGCATCATGTGCACTTTGAATTAATCATTTCCCCTTCCACCCAAGACTCTTTAAAAGAAGCTCCTCCTTCTCCATTTCCACTTCGGCCTCTTCACTAATCTCATGATCAAATCCTAGTAAATGAACAACTCATGTATCTGCAGGAGGGTTCAGTAATTAAAGTCATCAAACGACACTAAAAAGCTCTCTAACGGAAAAAATCCTAAAACCAACTAACCATGAGAACACGTATCTCATCAATAAGCTTGTGGCCTCTTTCCTCTGCTTGCCTTGTCGCTGTCTCAACAGAAATCACAATGTCACCCAACATAAGCTGCATATAATACAAATGTTCAGTGATTAAAATTATGCAAAAAGAAACGGAACCAAAAAACTAAAAAAGTAATGAGCTAGTATAATGGGAAGCTTAAGATTAGGGACATGCTGCGACAGCGAAAGAACATCAGTGGCATGGCCCTTGTTTCTCCATTCCTTGTTAAGTTTTCAGATGACCTCGTAGTTGCAAAGAAGCACTGAAAGCTCTATGCTCTCGAATCCACCAACGCAAAACTCCATATACCTCACAAACCAAGTGCATGTGTGGCAATGCCTGAGCAAAAACAAAGAGCAGCCGGCTCAACAAAATCATCTATACTTGAATAATTTCCCATCCTGCTTCCACTAAGTGCTTCCCCTAACTAACAAAATAAGTAATCTCTTAGCGTAGCACATTTAGTCATCCATCTTAGCATTCATCTCATTCCTTTGATAGAGATGTTTTAAATTTCATTAATATAAGCAGCATTCATTTCTCAGATATATTACCATAGATAGTGTTATGCCCTCCAAAGCCTGATTTTGAAGAAAAACTTCGCGGAAATCCATTGGTTCACTGCGAACATCAGAGTCATAATACAAACCTAATTACATTACCAAAATGATAAGTTTCAACAGCAAACTATACTCCAACAAAAGCAATAAAACTGAATGAAATGGAATAAAATTGCAAAAACAAAACATAATCGAACCAGAGATATTCTTTTTCGAATCTCATTCGTGCCATCGGCAGCAAACAGGTTGTTTCGGCGCACTTTCATTCTCTTCCACATAACCCTGAGAAAGCTTCAGCCTCTCCACCTCTTTAAGCAGCAGCACCCACCTTCTCAGTATCTAGAGTCTTTCGGGTTAAGCAGCAGCACCCACCTTCTCAGTATCTCAAGTCTTTCGAGTCCCCTACAGGAAACAGCTGCTTCCTCCAATCTCTGTATACTCTTCTTCACACTCCTAAAGCTCCGACCTCCCTGTAAACAAATGCGAATGAGAAAAAATGGCGGAAAATGTGAAAAATGGTGGAAATTGTGAAATTACCATTCGGAAATAAAACAGGGAGGACTGTGGTTGACGGCGCGGTACACGGTGCGCCGACGTTCTTACGGAAACAGCTCGCCGGAATCGGAAGACCCAGACCTTAACTTTTTTACGGTACAAATATACTCAGATGCAAAGACAGAGCACCATTGAAAGAGGAATCCTCCAGGTGCATCAATTGCTGCATATTCAAATCTAAAACATGTTTACTCTTCAGAAAATTACTCAACATATGTACTGTGAAATATTAGCAAAAAAATCTTTAAAAAGGGAAAAAAAGAATACATACTATCAGATCGGGGGAGACATCATCGAGCAAATCGGGGGAGATAAAACCTATGGACTTCCAGCTTCCGGACTGATATTTTTGTGCTGAGCATGCAGAGCAGTCTGGAGTTGAGAATAGAGAGATATCTGAAGGCAAAAGTGTGAATAAAAAATTGAAGCCCACTTTGTTAGATAGGATGAATAGTGGAATTACTAAAGTGAATGATTGTGGATAAACAGTGTTCTAAAAATCGATCTAGGCGGCAGAGCTCTGACTCGATTTAGACCAAAACGTTCAGTTAGGCGGGGAGGACTTAGGCGGCCGCCTAGGCGCTCAATATATATATATATAAAGGTTATATAAATTATGAATTATTTAGATAATATTTTGTTTTTTTTTTCATAGGCAAGCATATTATATATGTACATAAAACATTCACATATATATGTTCTTCTATAAGAAATAACATAATATTCAATAATTATTTACATTTGATATAATAAATTTAATTAATTCATATAATATATAAGAAAATTACCTAAATCCGTCTAGGCGCCCACCTAGACCTCGCCTAGCCGCCTAGTTGCTAGGCGCCCGACTAGCGCCTAGCATTTTTTAGAACCTTAAACATGAACCATTTCTATTAATTTCAAATCGCAAAGACTAAAGTGATAAATTATGCATATTTCAGGGACTATTTTGACTAAAAACCGCTATTTTTCTTGATGAGAAATGGAATTTTGAGTTGGGTTGGATTGTTTAAATTTTTATGTCTTAAAAGTAATTATTTCTTCAACCAAAAAAGAAATAAAGTAATTATTCCACATTAAAATTCTTTGTTCATACATGAGGTTTGTTTGTTTGTTTTGTTTTTGTTTTTTTTTTGGAATTATTGGTTAACTTTGGTCTTAATTTTTATAGAACACCTGAAGTTGCTTGCTATTGTTTTGGTTATCATATATCAGGACGTGAAATGCCATTTGATTAAAGTTTGCTCTCTTTTACAAAATAAATGAAGGGTTTTGTGGGGTTTTTGCCCACAAATTATCTTTAGGCTAAAGAATAAAGTTAGAAGAATTGCAGGTTTGCTTTCGATTAGTTTTTCTCTACTGAGTGCGAACATGTTGTTAATATACTTGAATTGATTCTAAAGTTAGTATCTTTTTTAGGGTTGTTATACACAATAATTAATTTCCTCACCTTCTGGTTGAGATTTTGATGTCCTTTATTTCGAGCAAATTAAATGAAGGAAATTAACCTTTTGCAACACAATTTTTCATATATTTCAAACATAAACTTCCGTACGGTTTTCAATCGTGCAACAATGCGGGGGCATAGATTTCTAGTTTAGTCTATGAGCTAGCTCTAATCCTAGTCGTTCATTATAATCAATAACAACAAATCCAGAAATTCAAAGCTAAAAAATAAAGAAAATCTGGACAAATGCTTATATCTCAGCACTTTCTTCTAAACCTGTAGTTGATTTCACTTCAAATAGACCTCTGAGCATGTAGAACTTGTCGTTTGGCAACACTTTTGTAAAAATATATGCCAATTGTTCTTCAGACTCGCATTAGACAAGATTGATAATGTTGGATTTCTCTAATGGAATGAGACCTTTTGCCAATATGCTTTGAAATCTGATGAAAGACTGAATTTCTTATCCTTGCAATTGCAGAAATGTTATCACCAAAAAGGTGAATTGCTTCAGTTTGTTCCTGACCAAAATCTTCTGACACAAACCTGAGCCACACAACCTGAGTTGTTGTTATGATGCACTCATGTATTCTGCTTTTGCAGTTGACAGTGTCACACTGTGCTGCTTAACTGAAGCCCAAGAGAAAATCCCATTGCCAGATGAAAATATATGGCCTGATTGGAGTATCACTTCAGGAACTAGATTCTGTTAGAAAGCAATCAGGATCCCTATCATAAAGGGCCTAGAATAGGCGTGTAATCAGTAATTATTATGTATATATTTTCTTCCTTTCTTGTATGGTAGTATTGCAAGATCAGCTGCTTGTTTATAGGGAACTCTCTGTATAAAGTTAGTAGACTAATATCAATACATTCATTCTGGCCAATTCTATTTCAGTCATTTGATTGGATTTTACAGATTCACCTTGCTCAGTTTGAGAATTTTCAAACACATGTTGAATATTTCTCCCTTCTACCCGAAATGCTTCGTCAGTGTCAATTTGATCAATCTTAACTCCCTTTAGCTTTTCATCAAGACTATTCACTTGAAATGCCTTAGGGCTTCTTCATCAGACTTCCAATCCCACGTTCCATCTTCATCAAATATTACGCTTCTAGATAACATAATCTTCCTTGTAGTCAAACTGAAGAATCCGTAACCTTTCTCAGCCTTTCCATAACGCACAAATATTCCTCTGACAGATTCTTCATCCAACTTCTGTCTCAGTTAGGGATGGGCAATGGTTATGCGGGCGGGTAATCGCGGTTAATTTACCCATAACCGTTTATGCTTATACCCGTATAACCGTTTACCCGTTGGGTAATTGCCTAAACAGTTATACCCATACCCATAACCGTTTATAAACGGTTAACCATACCCATAACCGCATACTCATTTAACCGTAACCGTTTAATACCCGTTTACCCATTTATCATTTTTAACCCGTTTATCATTTTTTTTTACCATTACCCTTTTTTCACCCATCTACATATTTTTTAACAACTTGAAAATTAAAAAAAAATTGTCATAATTTATTTTTTTAGACAATTAAACACCGTTATAGGTACATTCATCATACATTTCCATATTTTAATTTTTTAAGTCCTTATACCATTCCAATAATTGAAATAATAGTTTATGGACGATATTTTTAACTGTTACCAATGAAGGTAAATATACAATTTGTTAAGTATTATTGGGTTACAAAAATTGTTTAGAAGACATTTCTGTCAAAGCATTTCTGTCAATTTCACGGTTACCCGCAAGAAATTTAAATTAATTTGGCCAATTCCTTGATGATGAGAATTATCATTCCTGTAGTAGTGTTATTGAGAGAATGACCGATGAATTCCTTGCTAATTTATTGGGTGCTAAGTATTATTGGATCGAGAACATGGTTTGTGTTAGTTTTACATATATAAAATAAATAGGTAAACGGTTACCCGTTTATAACCGTGGTTAATACCCATAACCGTCTATTTAAATTTTGCGGGTAAACGGTTATACCCATAACCGTTTATTTATCTAAACGGTTACGCATAACCGTAACCGTTTAATTTAAATGGACGGGTAACCGCGGTTATCCATAACCAATGGGTATTTGCCCATCCCTAGTCTCAGTTAACATGGTATAACTATAAAAGGTGCAGCCAAATACTTAAGGTGCTTTGATTCATTGCAGTCTGCCACTGATTGCCTCAAATGGAATGGAGTCATGTTATCAACAACTTTAGTTGGACGTCTGCTGAGTATGTAGACTGCAGTATTAACTGCCTCATCCCAAAAGTAACAGGGAAACTTCTTCTCATGCAACATGCTTTTGGCTATCTCCACAATAGTCGTATCATTCCTCTAAGAACACCATTTTGTTGAGAAGAATATGCTACTGTGAGCTGCCTCTCAAGCTCCATTCTTCATAAAATTCCTCTCAAGCTCCATTCCTCATAAAATTCCGGAAATTTCACCGTGTAAGACGTCGTTCTAGGGAGGGAGGAGGAACTCGATGGAGTCGAGGGATGAGATATTTCAAATGAGATAGTCGAGGAGGGGCTTGCGGTTGAAACCCAAACCAACAAATTCGATGATTGTTCTGGAATTGAAAGAATGAAAGGAATTGAAGGAATGTAGATGTTGTGGGCTGGCCCTGGGGGTTGGAATGGCGCCGCCGCGGGGGGGGGGGGGGGTTATTTTAGTTGGTAAAAGAGTGTTTCTCATTCCTGTTACATCATTATTTAAGTGTCAAATTAACATAAAATTTAACGAACTTGATATTACAACGACTTCATAAGTTGAGTTATGTCATTCAAATGTTAAAAACATAAGGTATGAAATTATGATTCGATTTATAATTGTGGTAATTTTATGCAATTTATTTGATAATTTAAACGTGGGTACGAAAAGCCGAAAAACAGAATATTGAATGAAACCGGAAAAATTCGAATGGAAAAAAGCCAACCGAAGCAAAATCCGAACGTATCTCTAAATAAACCTAGCTGATACACCCCACGTACCTGCCTCCAGACTCCAAAATCGATCTCGATACCCCGACCTTGCCGCTCCCCCTCCAAACTCAGGACCTGCTCCTCTCGACGTCGCACACTGACACCTCGCTCACCTCGCTCGATTCGCTGCGATACGCCTCCCTGCTCTCACGTGCTCTCCCTCCGACTCGACTGATCATGCCACTTCTGGCTCTGGTAGTCCGCAGCTCAGGTGATTTTCCTCTGGGTTTTGCCTGTGTTCAATTGTGTTCGGCTTGTTTTTCTCTGATTTGGTGATTTTTGGGATCAAATCTGAGATTTTGCTGATTGGGTTTTGTTCTCTTGGTTTGTGAGTTGGGTTTTATCTCTATTCAATTGGGTTTCAATTAATTTTTCTACAATTTGGTATTTGGGTTTGATCAATTTAAGTTATATGATAATTAGGTTTTGATCAAATTGATGTTCTTCTTCATTTATTGTTGCTGAAATTTGCATGTAATGATTTGCATTGCAAGAAAATCGGAGAGTTGCCATGTTAGGAAGTCCTCGTGTTAGACTGTTGCGGTCGGTTCAACTGTGGGCGCATTGCTGGACCCAAGATGAACTGATCTCATAGTAACTCTTGGAGAGACAACTGGGAAGCCTGCATTTGAGAGAGTTCTCGAAAGAATGAAGAGGAGCCCTGAAGGCAGAGTAAACCCTCGTCTTCTATACTCTATCTACTTCTATATATATATTTTTTTTCTTGGTTGCTTGTATAATTGTATTGAAGTTCATTCTTTAGTAATCGTGGTCTTTAGAATTTACTTTATGATTGGTAGGTTTGTTAAACATCCTTCATTTTCATGTCCTTTCTGTAAGTTGTATCTTTATAGTATACCACTGTATCTTAATTATTTGGGTTCAGGAGATTCTAATTTGACTTTTCATTCAGGATATGTGATACTGCTATGAGGCAACCCTCCAGCGGTTAGATGCTTAAAAGGAACCCAGGAGAAGGTACCTTGGTTTCGCTTGTATTGAATGTCATTATGCTGCATGCTTTGCCCTTCTGTTCTTCCTAGGTAAAGCTACTGGGTTCGCTTGGAAATCTA